AAACCGACGCAGGAAAAGAAACCGGCTCCAGTCCGGGGTCCGTTTGCACCGCAGCGTCCAGAGGCGCCTCTCGGAATCTGATCCAAGTCGACTTTACAAATAGAATTTTTAACTTTGAAACTTTAAAAAATTAGAATTTTTAAATTAGCTTTTCGGATCAGCGCCTCGAATTTCGCATAAAAACATTCAAATGTCCACAATGAATGGATTTGCGGGCTAAAACAATAAAAGCCATTTCGCTCGTAGAATATGGCGCGGAGTGGTGAGTGACGTACAAATTTCCCCTTCATTTTTAGCGCTTCACCCGAAAGAGCATCCAGGGATTTGCCTATTTACAATTGTAAGTTTTCACGTTTTTTCCTACACAAAACGGTGCAGCCAGGTACAAAACTGCGTCGATATCGATCGATATCGTATCGATCGGGTGACGGTTTTGCGTTTGCAACCAGTTGAAGCGATATTTTCCAATTATCTAAGGCAAAAAATATAATTAAAAGTTTGGCTACGTTTTATTACCCCCAGCCGGAAGTTTTTGGCTATAACTTTTTATTTTACATTATTGTAGGCTCAAATTAAACTCTTAGTATATTTTTCGACGCTCTATCGAATGGCGTTGCGAAAATCCCGACAAAATAAGGAAAGTACCGACAACTTTGAGACCCTTCGGCTGTGGGGAGTAAGACTCTTACCAAAATTTTTTTAGTCTGTCGCCACGCTGACGGTTTATTGGATCATCGTTTACGAGATGTGGGCACGGCTACAGAAAATGATGCTCGTTCATTGCTTTGGTGGGCTCGGGAAAAAGAAGCGGCTGGCGACGCTGTATTCAAAAACCACTGGAAATCACCATTTCAGGAGGAATCTCGATGACGCCGAATGCCACGAGCCCGTTTCTTCTTCGGAATTATGGACCGAGGTTGAGCTTCCAGTTTCTTTTGAAGCAAATTCTTCAGTTTCTGGACGCCTTCGCCGTCATCATCATCTACGGCGTCCTACCGGCTTGTTTGCTGATCGGCATCTGGTAAATACAATATTCCAGCTCCCTAGTTTGATTTTCTCGTTATTTTGAAAGCTCTTTGACGTTAATAAGGTTAAAACATAAGATACTGTTAAAAAAAAAAAAAAAAAAAAAAAAAAAGGGGGCCAGGGAGAGGGGAGGGGTTTAAAGTCTTTTGCAGGACCGCCGGCTTTACGTGGCAAGCGGGATGGCGGGTTTTCGTCAGGCCCGGCTTTTGCATGATCTACGCAATCTGCGGCTTTGTAAGAAGTTTTTTTTTACTTATCGGAGGTCCTATTTTTCTTTTAAGGCCAAAAAACTTAAAAAATCAAAATTTTTTTTTTTATAAGGGGGGAAAAAAAAAAAATAAAAAAAAAAAAAAAATGTTTCAGTTTTTTGGTGAAAGGTGGTTATCTATTTTTAACGTAAATTTGTAAAGAGTTGCTTTTAGAAATACTGCCCATTATTTATAGTAGGAAAATTGGATCCATGGACAACCTTGATCCGCCGATAATGCAAAAGAACCAACGTTTTGCTTAAAGTAAGGTCAGGATTTCGCACTTCAGCTCTTCGTGCTCGTCGAGCACCTCTGCGAGTTCTTCGACCGTTACTTGGACAAGGAGCAACCGGACGAATGGCTCTTGGTCCGGTTGGTGATAGAGGATAAAAATGAATAATTAATGATTAAAAATGTGGAAAAACTATAACTATGTTCCAGAATGTTCTGGCCGACGGTTCGCGCCACCTTCAGCACGTACGCCTTCTGCAACATGTTTTGTGTGATTCGCATCTTTGACGGCATCAACGGCCGTGTCCGTGCCCGCCGCCGTTAATCTGTTCGGGAAATGAGAAACCTTTTCTATTCGATTCATCTCATTTTATTGTGATCTCTGCTCGTAGAGTTTATCGTGTCGTTCAATAAATATTCGATGTGCGAGGTCCTACTCCTAGGGTCCCAATATTATTTAAGATGTTAAATCATTACATACACATCGTTTTCTGATTTTACCGCTTTTCCCGGCGGGTTTCAATACGGAAATCATAAAAATTCTTCGGATTTTCGAAAACGTGGAGATTACAAAAATCCTACAAATTATGAAAGTCGTTAAAGTTTCGTGCTGTAAGTATTAAAGCCGACTTTCAAAGGTACCCAAAGTTTACTAAAAACACGAAAATCGTTTAAAAAATGGGACGAAAAACGCTCGAAGATTACTCGTTGACTAGAAATTAGCGAGCTACTTATATGAACATCACGCGCCATTTCCTCCCACTAGAGTCTCTTTTTGTGAAGAAAATGTAGGGCGATATTTTAATAAATACTTTGTGGTATTTGCGAACGACCTTGGTAATCCAATGGAAAACTAAAAAACTTTTTGCCTGCGAGATTCGGAATCAAAAATTTATTAGTATAAGATCTCTAAAAATATTATTAGTAGGCAGTGGTTTAGTGTCAAAAGGATGTGTATTTAGCAGAGGTTGCACGACTTGGCGCAGTACTGCTTGACTTGTTCCGGGGTGTAGTTGACACTGTTGCAGAAGTTGTTCGCCACCCAGGTCTTGCAGCTGAAAAGAATTGTTAGAGGGAGAGAGAGAGAGAGAGATAGAGAGAGAGAGAGAGAGAGAGAGAGGGGGAGAGAGAGAGTAGGCATTGCAACCTACTTGACGCTCTCATCCTTGCATCCATCATCCTTCGGGCAAAGGCCGCAGCTCTTGGCGCAGTAGTTGGCCACCTGCGACGCGTAGAAGCTGTTCGTGCAGAAGCCGTTCTTGACCCAAGCGCCACAGCTAGAAAGGGTATTTTTGAATTTATGAATAACGAAAATGCAACCGAAAATTCGTGAGACATACTAGGTGCTGTTGTCGGTGCAGATGACGGGTGTCGACTCGGGCTAAAAAATTTTTTTGGCTGAGTTTTGGACTTTTAGCGCGGAAAAACAAGATTTTTTTAATTCTCGTACCCCAAAGCACTGGTTCATGCCATCGGACAAGTAGCACGTCTGCCCGGTGGGGCATTTGCCATCGGGCGATGCTATAAATTCGGGTCAAGCTTAAAACAAACAGCTTACGGCCCCAGGATACGTCAGTAGAACCGGCGGGTGGGCCGGCAGGGCAATCAGCAGCCAGGGTCTGAAAGTACAGGATTTTCTAAAAAATTTCAAGTGCGGCTGTGACTGACTTCCGCATGGGTTTAGGCATTGGCTTAAGCTTAGGATTAGCTCAGGCTTAGCTTAGGATTGGGCTTAGGCTTTGCTTCGGATTGAGCTTATGTTTAGCTTTAATTAGGCTTAGGCCTCGGCGCAAGCTTAGGCTTAGGTTAGGCATAGACATAAGCATAGGCTCAGGCTTAGGATCGTGCTTAGACTTAGGCTTGGCTCAAGCTCAGGCTAGGTTACCTGTTGACAGGCCAAACCGAGAAGAGCGAGAAGAACAGCAGTTGAAGCTTGCATGGTAGAGAAGACCAGATGAATCAGATACCAAGCGTTAATCCACACACCCTTTTATACAGTATAGCCCAGCAAACCAAGCCCACATTGACCTTCAGAATATTTGCCCCGTCCCACCCTAGTGCCATCCTGCGACCTATAGAACTTGCTAAATTGACGTTGTCGGGCTGGCCGCTCTTTGCTGACTACCCCACGCAAAATTTTTGGGCCATCTGTGCAAATGACGGGCGCGGGGGCAAGTCCGTACTTTGCGATTTTTAAAGCCCTAGCTACCGCGATTCCGCATTCCAGTTGGGTGGTGAGTGGGCCACGGTTGAGGTGACATTTGACGCGTTTTGGAGCTGGTTTGAATTCGCTATTTTTATACGAACATTGCCCGCGCCGACGTAGCGGTCTGCAGAAAGATTTTCTAACATCACCTCGAAGTTTCAATATCTCGAAAGTCCAACATCTCTTCAACAGCGGCAGCACATTAAATTTCTCAGTTCTGAATGGAATCTACTCCCAAGCAACCCTCCGCTAACTCGGCGCAGAAGTATCGGAGCGAAATGATAGTTAGACCATTCGAAAGCCTTTAAAATGGCGAGGTTGCAGCGTTCACCAGAACCATCTTTTTATTTGACCTCGTTATTTTACAAGCCGTTCCGTGGAATTTTGCGGGTTATTGAGGTTGCCTACAAGGTGAGTTGCTTTATTTTCTCCAATAAAAATGACCGGATTTCACCTTGCTGTTTCTCAATGCGTTGCAAAATGACGCATTTTCATAAAACTTTGCCTTTGAAGGTTGTTGCAAACTGGCCGTTTGAAGGGCTTTCCAATGATGTAACTACCATTCCGACCCGATACTTCTACTTTGGCTTAGAGGGGTTTTTCTTATTGGGACACCCTGTACAGCGGATTCTTCGGGCTAAAAACTTTGAGATAATAGCTTTTCGAGATACTGCAGCTTCGAGATATTGAGCACCCCAGATGTTTTTTTTCGAGATGCTGATTTTCGAAGTGATGATTTTTGAGAACATCAAAGACTCCCCTTTAGAGGGCTCGCCGGGCTTCCGTAGCCGAACAAGCTAGCAAATACGATTGAGGATCGGCGGCCATGTGTCGAGCTGAGCTAGCCGGAAACATGATGATGGCACAAAGCCAAACATTCTGCCGGTTGTCGAATTCCGGCCGAGCACCGCTCCATAAGACGCGTTTCCCTTTATCAAGCCTGGAATCGCTGGCTTCTGCACGTTCGCCGCCCGACGAGGCATGCAAAACTGCAGAAAATGGCTGCACCAAAGAGCCATGTACGCTTGATAAGGGAGCGACGGGCCGTACTTTTTCCTAGAAGTCATGCGTAGGTCAGAAAGGGGCAAATGGGGCAAAATAAAGCTGACACGCCTTCCGGTGATATCGAATCTAAAACCTTGAAGGCTTCGATTTTTCGAGGCTGATTTTCTAGATTTCTAAAAATGGACCTTGAATTTCACCAGGGCTATATTGACTATCAATACGCGAGAACGGTCGTGATTGAAAAATCGAAAGGTTAACCTTAATTATTTGGTTTTTATCTAGTTTAGATACGAGTAAAAAGTTTAATTCGATCCTGAGAGGTTCCCAACCTAAGCCTGAGCTAAGCCTAAGCCCGAGGCCCAACTGTACCAATAAGCCTATGCATCCAAAAAGATTCCCTATCACCTGTTCGAAAAACGTCTGTTCGAAAAATCATCTATTCGAAAAACGTCTGTGCAAAAAGTCCTGTTCGAAAAGACACCTGGGTCGCCTTTTCGAAAACCATGTGTTCGAAAATGGTCATTTTTGATACCATTCCTGGGCAATTCCACATACAAATTTTTCGAACAGATGATTTTTCGAACAGGTGTCTTTTGGAACAGGTGATTTTCGAATACATGATTTTCGAACAGGTGATTTTCGAACAGATGGTTTTTGGAACAGATGATCGACCGCTATCCAAAACCACTTATCTATGTCTTTTGATTACAATTTTCAGCTCGGCGCCCTTATCAACGTTCCTCTTATGGTGCTTTTTAACAAAACTAGCATCGAAATGTTTGGAGTCGATGATGGGTTTGAAGATTAGCGATGACGATTTTTCCGAATTTTAGTGGAATCATGATGCTTTCGATAGCCAGCTGGACAAATCTGACGGGGATGGCGTTTTCCATTTTCGGCGTTTTGCCATTAGTGGATTATTTGGGTCGACGACCTGTCTGCATTTACATAAAGTTAGTTTGGTACCCGGGTGTAACTGCTGTAGTGGCGGAAAAGTTGAAAAGACCTTCAAGTGTTTTTCTCGGGTTTTTTTTTGAATAGATTTACGGTTTGCACATAATATCCTTACGTTTTTTCCAAAAATTTGAAATCTTATCGATTTAGGGTAGCACTTGCCACTGCCGGAACATCACTCTGTGTCCTGGCATGGTTACTACAAAACGGCGTATTCTATCTGCTAGCCGTTGCATTCTTCGCAGCACCGTATGCCGTTTTTGCCCTCGGCGATATCATTTTCCTATGCGAAGAAAACTTCCCTCTACGAAACTCGCCAGAAAAGTGGCGCGTCCTCGGAGAAGTGAGAGGAAAGCGTCTTCGGAGAAGAAAGAGAGAAAAGTTATCGTCGTTTTGCCGCGAGGTTATGTCAAAAATCTAGACCGATTGTTTCTAAGTAAAATATCCGGTTTTTTGAAAGCTGAACTCGGGGATTCTTAGATCTTACTTAGATTTTGGACCCACGTTTTTAAAAATCCTTTTCGAACCGCGACACGCAAGGCGAGTTGCCGCTTCAAAAGGGTTATGAAATAAAATTGCGACGTCAAAGGTCACCTACGAAATGGAACACTGCGTGTCGCGCCGCGGCGACATACACAAAGATCCACAACCCAATCAAGTCGTGTCTTGTAACTACAGGTGGGGAAAAGCTGACTATTCCTCTCTGTTAATCGAACTCTCTCTCCTAATATTAACAATTTAAGATTTGTCAGCTGAACTCCTCGCTGTTGGTCACCATCTTTTCCTCAATAACACCACTGACCTTTGGAGGGTTTTTGCCATATTTTTTTCTGGCAGTCGTCGTCTCATTCTCGACCTCGATGGCAATTGGTGTCAAGAAATTTGGGATTGAGTGGGGGATAGAGGTGAGCTTTTTCTCAAAAAAAAAAAATCCGCAAACTGGAAATCTTTGAAAATTAGTATAAATTCAGGAGCCCGAAAAGAAGCCGATGCTCACTTCGGTGCTTGCCGCAGCTTGCCGGTACAGCCCAAGCAGTCCATTGCTGTGAGTGGCCGCTGAAATTGGCATTAACAATAATACAACCATAATAATCATGATAATAAAGCTTTTTCGGCGTAAATTTTCATAAGGTTTGCACTAAATAGCACACAAAATTGCAAGAGAGGTACGAGTTGAATTTCAAAATATTACCGCAAGAAAAGCGTTTCAAAATCCCGCACTTCCGAAAGGAAATGTTGCGTGGTACAACCCTGTCCACACGCGACTGTACGATTCGCCCCGTTATCAAAACCTGAAAAATGCCGTTACTCACGTTATGGCACCCCAAGTACAGCCTAAAAAAGCCCTGAAACTTGCCATAATTTGCAGAGAGGCTGCTATGTATACATTGATAAGGGCTGCTGAGTGGTGTTTTCGTATACGAAATCGAGGCAAAAAGCTTTCCGCACGTAAGCTGGGAAGTGCATGCAACAAAATTATCGGGGGTCTGACTGGGCTGGGTCACAGAGGCTTTGCACAAGTCGAGTCCGCTTAAAAAAAAGCTTAAGCGTGAGCCTAAGCCAAGCCTAAGCCAAGCCTAAGCCAAGCCTAAGCCAAGCCTAAGCCAAGCCTAAGCCAAGCCTAAGCCAAGCCTAAGCCAAGCCTAAGCCAAGCCTAAGCCAAGCCTAAGCCAAGCCTAAGCCAAGCCTAAGCCAAGCCTAAGCCAAGCCTAAACCCAAGCCTGAGCTAAGCCAAAGCCTTGCTAAGTCTAAGTCCAAGCTTAGCCGTCTCCGATCTCTATATGGATCTCGCTTCCCGCCATGATTACCAGGACCTTCAACCTTCCACAGGGGTCACGAATAAACAAGGTAGGTAAAGTAACGGTTTTTCTAAAATTTTTTCAGATCTGCCTAAAAACGGTATCCAGAAACTCTTTCTGCTAAAATGCATGCTTTACGGGTTTTCGTGTGGTGCTACCGTAGCCATGTACCAGGTAAAACTTTTGTAATTTCATAATTTTTTTCATCTAGCCGAAGTTACGCATTTATTTTCATCTGTATTTTTCAGCTTGGGGCTCTAATTAACCCCCCTCTGATGACCCTCTTCAACCAAACCAGTAGCGAATTGTTTGGGATTAACGACGGGTCAGCTACGTTTAACTAAAACAAACCCTGATTCAGGGGCATTCTAATGCTCTCGGCTTCAAGTTGGACGTTGTTTGCCGGCCAAGGCTTTTCCATTATTGTCCTACTACCGTTGATGGATTATCTTGGACGAAGAGCTATTTGCGTTTATGTCAAGTATGCCATTTGAAGCTTCTCTTGACTAAAAAAAAATCTTTCAAACCCGGACCGGGTTCAGGTTCGGATTGGCGTCTCTCGGGACAATTTTCTACCTCTTGGCCTGGTCAACGCAGAACGGCCTATTTTACCTTATCGGCGCTGCCCTGATCGCCGCGACATATGCTATTTATGTGCTTGGAGACGTGATATTTTTGTGTGAGATGTCGCCTGCGGAGCATAAAGGTTAGGAATAGAGAGAGAGAGAGTGAGAGAGAGAGAGAGAGAGAGAGAGGGAGAGATAAATCGTAACCAACATTCCAGGCACCTTCTCGATGCTTTCTCTATCCTCCGTCCAAGTCTTTGCCCAAATCGTCACGTGGTTGGCTAGAGAAGATGTCTGGGGAACGTCCGAAAAATGGATATACATCCCGATTCTGGCGCAGGCAAAACAACTTTAATGAATTTATTTATCCAACACTTTTAGCTCGTTAACCTACTCACCCCCTTAATCGGTCACAGCTTACCGGATAAAGCTTTCCGGTTAAAAGGAGAAAGCGGAATGACGGTTTCAAGCTTTTACGAGAAGCATATTGAGAAAGTTTCGAGAGTATTTCGGTCTAGAAATGGGTTATTAAAGGTATGGGTATATTTTTTACACTAGGTAACGCGTTTTCTTCTAGAAACTGATGCTGATCATCTGCTTGGAGGCGTTTTGTACGATGAACATCAACATGATCGAGAATCAGTTTCCGATTCCTGTTTATCAAGATGAGGGGATGGAGACGAATCCGGTGGGCATTAAAAATGTTTTAAATAATATGAATAACTAATCAATTATCGTTACATTTTCCAGATCTTGGCGATGGTGATGGTCATCTTCGTCTTGCTAATTCCGTTCCGATGGCTAGGCCCTATGATTCTAAACAGAATCGATCGAAACCAAGTCCCATTTTATATCATGCCGTTTTTCGCCCTCAAGGCAATAGTCCATATGATGAATTCAATGCTGCAACTAGACGCACTTTGTGAGTGATACGTCAAATATAAAAACATGATAATCAATTAGGTTATGTTAATGCTATACTTGGACGTATCGTCGAATCGACTGGCTTGACTATGTTTTGCTACGTGGTCGCTACAGATATTTTCCCAAAGGAGTACCTGGTGGTTACGACGCAGGTAGAGAAAAGTTTCAACAACCAGGATCAGCATTGGAATTTAGCTATGCTTATTGAGCGCAGCCATTCTACTCGCCTTTTTCAATACCATCACGCCGTTGATGTTCAACGGCCACCTGCCACAATACTATTTTGGAATGGCCGTATTTTCGGGGGTGATGGCATTTTTGGCGAGGAAAGCCTGGAGACGAGTGGAGAATGAGGTGTGGATTTTTGGGGTTTTCGGAGTTCGGAAGCGGAATGAGTTCAGCATTGACGAATGCAGAAGATACTCTCAGAACGTCAAATATTCAGTTTTTAGGAAGAAGAGGAAAAGCCACTTCTTCCACCATGTGGAGCTCCGCCAAAGTACACTGAGAACGAGCTGCTATTTTGAATTAATAATTCCCGGTTCATTCCACTAGGCAAACACAGATATTTGCTATGCACAGGTATTTCTCGGCAAGAAAATGACAACTTCTCGATAAGCACCCTCAAAAGCTCAAGTGTTTGTGCAACAACGTGTTGATGTGCGCGGCATTGCCATAGTAGCTGAAACCATAGGGCAGGTCTGGAGGCCGGTACTTGCTGAACATTCTCATGCACTAAAAAAAATGGGCCCTGAAGGATACGAGTCTTCAACCCTACTTCTTGCGCTTTTCCGACCGTTTCGAAAAAGATGAAGCCAATTAGGCCCTTGTCTGTACGCAGCCGCTCGGTGTGAGGTCTGGAAAGTGTGGTTTGCACGTTTTGGCCCTTGAAAATTTTATGCAGGGTGTCCCGATAAAACGAACACCCCCCGTCTAACTCGATGCAGAAGTCTCGGATCGGAATGATAGTTGCACCAATCGAAAGCCCTTAAAATGGCGAGTTTGCAAAAACCTTCAAAACCATGTTTTTATTTAAACGCGCCTTTTTATATTATCCTACTATATATAAAAAAATAGTGTTTGTGTGTGTGTGTGTGTGCATTTGCATGCAACTTCCGTCAGGGTGTCCGGCGGATATCTCAAGGGGGAAAGGGTATTAGGCTACATATGATACGTCATTAGGTGCGAGATCGTTTGGAGATGACTGCACGCATATCAGATTTTGCAAATTATGCTATTTTCGACATTAAAAATAGCTTTTTGTTACAAAATCGGGCAGCCTCTTTGTTAGGCTAAAATTAGCATAAGCCGGAAGTGGCGGCAGCCTATATAACGGTGGAGAGGGAGCATTTTTCATTATTTTTCATCGAAATTCGGTCGAATTATGCAATGTGCAGGATATCATGGGCTCCGACGGGGCCAGGGTTGAAAAGTCGCGAAGCGGCTTTTCAACCCTGGTAGAAAACTTAAAAACTTTATGAACGGCTTCGGCACCTAATTAATGGCAATTTCCGGTCAATTCGCTTTGAAAAAGGGAGGTCAAGGTGCTCGTCGGCAACCCCGAATGTGTAAAATGTGTAAATGGCTTGTAAAATCGCGGGTTTAAATGAGCAACGTGGTTTTGAAAATTGTTGCAAACTCGCCGTTTCAAGGGCTTTCAAATCGACTATCATTCCGATCCAATACTTCTGCGTCGCGTCGGAGGGGTGTTTTTTTATTGAAACACCCTGCCGAGCGGTGGTGTAAATTAATACGCCCGGTCAATACCTCCCATTCTTCATCTCGTATCCGGGCTCAGAACTTGGGAGGAATAGCAGCAGTGTTGCATCGGTGACGCCCTCGGGCAACCAGCTTACGCATATAATTCGCCGATTTGTGCCCTGGAACCGAATGAATACGGGAAATGGTCGCCCACCTTGGGATCTTTATAAGGATCTGGTATACCGAGCTCGGAAGCCTTCTAAACTGCTAGTTTTTGGCAGAGTAGCAACGGCATACAATTTTGCTAGGTCCTGACGTCACTATAGTTTGTGTCATCGGCTGGGCCACCCCTTGTGGCTTTGCCGGCTTGGACTCCAGAGGCGGGGGCTGGCTGCTGTCGGTTTTTTTGGGCTCCTGAAAAATGAGAAATTTATAGGGACGCGTGGTCTCTTCTGAGAGCACCCTTAAAAAGTCTTACTCAACAATAAATCACATATTTGAGAATCATATAGATTTTTTTAATAAAATTTTTCGAGAAAACAGTGTCGAAAAATCACGTTTTTGTGACAATTGCATCTAGTTATAAACAGAAAAAGGCCAGCAGGGAAGAAATTACAATGCAAATTTTTCGAAAAATGTGGTTTTTGAGCAACGTTAGAATCAAGATTGGATCTTCAAGGCTTGTGGATTCTTGTTTCGCTTACTTTATTGTGATATTCTTGTTCTATTATTTTATTCCTTATTGAATTCCGCTTTGATCGTACAATACTTGCCGCGCAAATCCCTGCTGCCGGTTTCTTCGTACACGCCGAATAAGAGACCGTAATCTTCCGCCCTTGTTCCACGACACCGTTCCACTTTTGGAAAATCTTAACGGCATTTTAAACGAGGATCTTGACATACCTCCTCCGCAGCTTGCACATTTTCCAAATATGCAATGCACCGCTGGCTGTCATCATCGTGAAGTCGCAACATCATGTCCGGGCTAGGGATACCTTATGAAATCTTAACAATTGCAATACTTATCGTCCCAATATATCAAGGGCTGTCCTTTCCCCAAAAACTTGTCGATCACCTGTTCTTGCGAGTAATCGAAGGGGATGTTTTCGATAATAATTTTTGTCCGGTTATACTAAAAAAATACAAATCTAGTAAAATTATAACTTGCAACAAGCCTGGTAGATGATCACTTTCTCAGATAGATTCTTCATTTCCGCCTCTAATTTTTCACGTTGCTGCTTTTCGTCGTTGACCAAGGCTTTGAATTTTTCGATCCAAAATAAGTTCTTGTAATTTTTTAGAAAACCGAGTTACCTCTGCGGTCAATATTTCTTTTTCCCGGATACTGCGTAGGCTTTTCTGGGCCTAAAGATTCGCGTGAGATAGTCAAGATTTTTCGTGACCTGGAGTCTTTTCAAATGCGGAATCTCGACTTCGCGAAGCGTAAATAAATCTGCATTTAGTTGTTTCACCTAAATACGGAGTATCAGAGAGAACTTTGTAAATGAGGTCGACCTTCTCCAGATGGGCCTTCTTTTCTTGGTTCCATTTGAGGTGCGAGCCGGACTGGAATTTACGATTTGCTAACAGAAGGTCAATATTCAAATTGTCGAAATTTGGTAATTGCGAGTCCGATATTGTCGAAATTTTATAACGCCGAATTTGCAACTTGTTGAATTTTTTGCACGGTATTGCGAGTTTATCATTAGATTTGCTTAAGCAAATTCACGGTTCTGAACTTTCGATTATAAGAAAGTTTAGCCTAATTTCGACATTATGAGATTTCGACATCATGAATTTTAACCGTTTGAGAGCAACCCTGAAATGATAAAATAATGGAAATGACAAAAAAGACAGATAGGAAATAGTAAGTTCTTTATGCATACTATTGACTTTTTCTGCAGCTCCAATTTTTCGTCGAGTTTGTCGTAGTCCGCGACAAGCTGATTTAAAAATAGATTTGACTACACGACCTGCTACCTGATTCCAGTCCTTCAACGGAACCGTGTCCGCTGCCGAAGCGGCGTGAGAAGTTTATATAAAAAAAAACACACTGACCTGCTCGGCCTTTAGGTTGCGAAGCTCGTTTCGGAGTGAGCCCAGTTGAATATTTAGGTTTTGCTATAAATTTAGTTAAGCTGTTAGCGTCGGAGGAATTCTTGGTCCTCAAATGCTCTTTTTCCTGGAAGATCCTCAACTGATTGTGAGGTCCTCTTTCCTGCAAAAATTAAAAACGCTTTTCAAAAACTAATTTTCATAAGACACCGTTTTAAAAAAAATTAGGCCGTTTTCTCGGCCCGTAAGGTATGCTGACGGGACTTTCAGTATGCGCAGAAAACATTATATCCTATATCCTACTGTATATAAAAAAAAATAGTGTATGTGTGTGTGTAACTTTGCATGCAACTTCCGTCAGTATGTTCCAGTCGTATCTCGATAGAGAAAGGGTTTTAGAGTGTGTTGGATACGTCATTAGATGTGTAATCGTCTCGAGACGCCTGCACACATGTCAAATTGTCGAAAAAGTGCTATTTTCGACATTAAAATTAAGTTTTTGTAAAAATTTCGGTCCCCCGCTTTGTTAGGGATCAATTAGCATACGCCGGAAGCGAGAAAAATCTATATAAAGGGGCCGAAGGCGCATTTTTTATTTTTTTCAAATTGCGGGTCGGGAGAATTATGCAAATTGAGAACTCACATTGGATCAGACGGGGCCAGGGTTGAAAAGTCGCGAAGCGGCTTTTCAACCCTGGTTATCTAAATCAAAACAAAATTAAATATTTTTGTCGATGTAGAATTAGAGAAAAGAAGAAAATTAAAAAGAGTTTCAAATATGAAAAATACTACCGATTGTTCCAGGGCATCCCAATACTTTTTGGATAAAGTGTCGTAGTCCCTTTCCCAATACCTGCCGCCGTAGCCTGACTCGACGACGGGTCCCTAGGAAAGCATGTTTGGTTGCAATTTCTAGCCGATAAGACAAAACAAATAATCCCGTAATTAAACTACCTCGATCGAATTACCGGCGCCCATTATTAACTTGTAAAAACAAGAGGAAAATCAATTCAAAACAGAAGCGAATTTTCTGACGTTTGATGAGTAAGGGAATGGCGACAGCTGGGCGCTAATTGACTAGTGATAAGAGAACACTTCAGTTTGAGAATACCGAATACGTATTATCAGGAAAAGCGAAAAAGTGATACGGGATAATTTGTACAGGTCATTTTATAACGTCTAGGAACAGATTTACCAACAAGCTTTCTGAACAATTTTTAAAGGGACAGACAAGGCAAGTGTCTAACTGTAACCCTCTTATCGTCGAAGTGGAAATTCGTTTCGTGAGATAGCACATCTTGTGCAGAATTTTTCGCTGATTCCGAATCCGTTTTCAAAAGTTGCGAAACCCCTTAGATTTAAAAGTTACAAACGTTTTTAATACCCAAAATGCCAAAAATCGCTTACTTTAAAGTGTTCTAAAAATTTCGTAAAATACTTTTGCAGGGAGAGTAAGGCGTTTTCCGGGGTAAAAAACGTGCTCTTTCGAATGGGCTGCCTCACGAACCCGTAGCTCAAAATTTCGAAAATTTCGAAAATCGGCCATCTTGGGCATGGGCCGACCAAAAAAACTTTTTTGCAAATTTCGAGCTACGGGTTCGTGAGGTAGCCCATTCGAAAGAGCACGTTTTTTTACCCGGAGCACGCCTTACTCCCTGCAAAGTATTTTACGAAATTTTTAAACACTTTAAAGTAAGCTATTTTTGGCATTTTGGGTATTAAAAGCGTTTGTAACTTTTAAATCTGAGGGGTTCCGCAACTTTTGAACACGGATTCGGAATCAGCGAAAAATTCTGCACAAGATGTGCTATCTCACGAAACGAATTTCCACTTCGACCATAAGAGGGTTACAGTAAGTGCCAGCCTCTGGGCTGGCGACATTGCGGTATTTCTCGTGGTTTTCAAATAAAATAAAGCTGCTCGGAAATT